CCCGCAGTTGGCACACTTGGGGGCAATTTTTTCTCCATTTTTCAGCTTGGTGAGGCAGGAGTGTGTGCCGTGCTTCTGTGCGCAGACTGCGCAGATTTCCTTGTACGTGCACCTTGTCTGATGGTGCCCGTATTTCTGGCATCTGAAGCACCGCAGGGGCTCTGGGACGAAGGGCCTCACTTCGTAGATCCCCCAGGTTTTGAGGTCTATGGTGCTGGGGGGTGAACCGTAGTGCGTTATGAGCACTTGTTTTGTGGTGGCCGTCTTGTCGGACAGGGGAGAGCATCTCTCGGCTTTTAAGATCTTCGGGTGGTTCTCCAGGGGTTCGAGGGGTAGTTCCTTTGGGTACCGGAGGACTACAGACTTCATCAGTTTCTGGGCGGGGTCTAGCTTGGTTGATGCAACGGTGGTGGTGTTTTGCAGGTAAGTGTCGAGGGTGGTGGCGGAGTCCTTGTCTTTGGGGTGAATAATCATCTCCCCCTTTAGGTTGGGCCGCACTGAGAACTTGGCCAGTGGATTTTGCTTTTCTATCTCTGTGATGGCGGCATATGTCGTTTTTGTGTCCGTTTTCGTGATCCGGAATTTTGGCAGTGTCGTTGGAGGTGAGCTGGTGGTGGTGATGGGTGCCTTTTGGGCTGCTTGACGGCATTTCCTTTCCCGAAGAAGCACGTCGGCGTTTTTTATTTTCTACCTTCGTCCAGTTGTCGTCCTCAGTGGCGGTAGGAGTGGTGGTGGAGTTGTTGGAGGTGGTGGCAGTGTTCCTGCTTTTCAGGGCTTCATTGAAGGCGCGTAACTGGTCCGCTTTCTCTGTGCGGAGCCTGTCGTAGTTCGGGTCGTGAGGTTGGCGGTTCAGGCGGGGGTCGCGGTTAGGAGGGCGTACGCGCTCCATAACCGGTTTTTTTTTTTTTTTTAAATCCTACCTATTCCGGTTGAGTAAGTAGCAGAGGAATTTCAGCACTCCCCACTGGCTGGTGGTCGTAGAGTGGTTCCTGAGCTTCTCTCCCGGATCCCCGTTGGGGAAGCCTACTTCCTAGTGTATGTGACTGCTCACTTATAGACGTGAGCTAAGTGTGCCTATTGGGGAAGGATAAGGATTGCTACCCTCTTTCCAGGTGGACCCGCACGATCACGGTTTTCCTGGAAAGACTCGGCTGGGATGGGTTTTGCTCCAACCCCCTTTCGTGTTCACAATCTCCTGGGAGGGAGGTGAACAGTTACAGGGGGGACCGCAGGACGAATACACTTTTGAGGGTGCAGGTCCCTAGGCCAGAGCGAAAAAGGAAAAATAGTAGTAGAAGGAAAAGAGCTCAAACCACGCCGGGAATATCGCGCTATAACTGCTCTCCAGCTGGAGTGTGGGTCACTCACACCACCAGTGGGGAGGGCAAGCTAATGCTCGATAAACCGAGAACGCTCGTGAGTTGTTGTCGACGATGTCAGTCGTGGATGCTCCGGTCCGGGAAGATGGCCAACAATGGCACAAGGGAGAGGGCGGTCTTCAGAGTTTCGGGTCCAGCAGGAGGTCTTGTTGAGAGGTCTTCTTAGTTCAGGAGCAATGTGTGAAGTCGGTGCTGACCGTTACGACTGCCTGCCTTGTTTTTCACGTTGGGTTCGCTCTGACTGGTTTACCTTGTAGTTGTACATGGATATTATTATTCTTGTACACTGCGCTTCTTCCCTATCCTATCCTTTCGCCTAGAGTCCCTGCAGTTTGGTAACGACGCGAACCCTGCGGGCAGAGCCTCAAGGGGGGCCCTCAGAGGGCTGCTGAGTCGAGACAGTAAGGGTGGCAACATTTTCTGTTAGGGATTCGGCAGTGCTTCATAACCTGTCACTGTTGGGTGTTTGGGCTTGGCCAGGCCCCCGTCAGGGGATTGTCTGTTCACCCTATCCCTAGACCCGTCTTTACTCGCCCAGCAAGCGGACAGAAGGAGTGGCATCCATGGGGTTTAGCTGAGGTGGACAAATTAGGTAGGATTTTCATGTATGTTACTGACCATGGCCAAAGTGAGGGTGAAGATCTCCGGAACCCCGACCCAGGAGTCTCGGATAGGGCTAAAAAAGCTATTGAGTGACCTAAGGGTGAGAATAAATAGACTTGTGGATCTGAGAGATGGTTACATCATCCTCACAGAAACAGATGAAGATGCTGATAAACTACTTAAGTCTAGTGCCATGAACAAAATGAAAACTCGCGGTTACGAGGTCATTGTCCCACGGGAATACGGCGCCAAGCTCATCCTTGTATGTAAGAAGTTAGACAAAGATGTAGTGGAAAATAACGCAGAAGAAATAAGAGATGAAATAGAAAAGCAAAACACTGTCAAGGTTGTGGAGGTGTATCCTATGTATGCCCATAATATAATCAAGGTTCGCTTTGCAGACACAACGGGTGCAAAAAGAATGAAGGCGAAGGGGCTCTATGCATATGGCACTTCATTCTCATCACACCAAATAGAATATGAAAAGTATACGCCCATCCAACAATGTATGAAGTGCTATAAATACAATGACCACATGACCAAGAACTGCCCCATGCAAGGGGTCATATGCTCTGAGTGTTCATCTGATCAGCACTTCTTCAAAGACTGCCGTAGAACACCATGAAAAAGTGTGTCGTCTGCGAGGGTGGCCACAGGACCTTCTCTGCCACCTGCCTGATCAAGAAACAGGTACTTCAAGAAACAGAGAAGAAACTGACCGATATAACCAAACAAAAAGAAACCAGGGAAATTTCTAACACCATAGAAAGGACCACTCAGTCGACGATCATGGCTTACAGCCAAACCCTAAAAGACGCTCTGAAAGAAACTCAAGCAGACTCTCAAAAGCTCAACAATGTGGCAATAGGCCCGCTGCAGTTTCCTCCATTCTTATGTTCTTATGTTCTTATCATATATTTTGCACAAGAGATAAATTTTTAGTCATATATAATGAAATTACTAATTTGAACTAAAATTTGTATGTCTATTGCGAATTATAGCATGTTTATACTCAAGCTAATCACTATCTTATAAAAATTCCAGCTATGTTAATTATATTATCCCAGGTCAGTTCAGTGACATTTTATAAGAGAAAAACCACACCTCTCTCACTCCCCCTCCCCCCCATCTTCCCAGCCAGGGTTGGGTGGTTTTAGGTTTAAAGTTTTTATCTTATATAATATCACAGTTAGGGGAATATAATTTGCATTGCTGGAATCCCTTGCAAGACAGCCAATAATATGAATATAAACGTCATATATTTTGCACAAGAGATAAAAATTAATCACCTGTATCGCATTACAATAGTGATTTATGAATTTATGAGTTCTAGTATATATGTGTATATATATATATATATATATATATATATTTATATATGTATATATATATATATATATGTGTATATATATATATATATATATATATATATTTATATATGTATTGATTGATTGCTTTAAGGGCGATTTTGAAGTGTTTCTGACTTTACACAATGTCCCAGGAACGTAACCCTCGCGTAAGTTGTGAGTCTACTGTATATATTGGAAAATTTTGATAATGGTATTAGTGATAAATTTGAAATATTTCCTGTATGATTTCCCTCGCGAAATAAAGAAAAATATCGCTATATATTTTAAAAATGTCGATAATTTTGGTAGCCACGATATAAAAAATTCGTTATATAAAGTCACTATATATCCCGACCCTACTTATAGAAAAAAAATCATCAAAATTAAGAAAAAAATATTTCGTGTGGATTCTGGTGGTAGCTACAAGACTGCTGCAGGGTGGCTCACCTCTCCAGCTGCCAGCAGCCACTACAACAATGATACTACTCAGTTTGAATTCTTTCCCCAGTTTATGTTGAGTTATGCATCTGTGTTACTGTGTAGCCTTATTCATGGTGAGTGGAAAAAGACCATCATATTCAAGTGAAAGCAGTGGTGATAAAGGATTCCATAAACATGATGTTTTAAGGACGTAATTCCTAGTAACTCCGATCGCACCACCTCCTGCAGCACTCGACATCGTTTCTGGTGAGTTAAATTCAAGTGTGTGCATTTATTGTCATGTTATATCGTGAATGAATCATTGCATGCGTCTATTATCATTCATATATGTGCGTGTGTTGATTTGGGGCTGCAAAATTTTTCCCATGGGAATGCATCTCAACTTATCTAATGGGAGTCAATAGGAAAAATGGTTTCGCATTACGAAATTTTGCGACGTGGAAAGATTTTCAGGAAATGGAACTATTCTGTAACTCGGGGGCTACCTGCACTTAGTCCTTAATGAATGTGTCGTGAATGCAAGCATGATCTCCACATGCTTTCCTGTTAGGCGCTGTAAATGTTTTTGCGCTTTACCATGCACAGGATGCCCTATAAATTAGCCCCCTCGCGGGGCAAATCTGAAATATGAAGAAAGGCAATCAGTGAAGTCTTTTTAGGGGGTGCTGGTGGTAAAGTGGTACCGCTCTTGCCTTCGCAAGCGAGATGTCACGGGTTCGATTTCCGGGCCGGTGGAAGTTGTTTGGACACACTTCCTAGCCTCCATTAGTCCCTGTTCACCTAGCAGTAAAGTAGGTACCTGTTGTAAGTCGAAAGTTGCGAATTCGTATTCAGGGACAAGTTGTTGGAGCTTCCAATAACTTGATGACACAAACCATTGACTCTTCAGGCTTCTATGCCCTTGACTCTTCAGGCTTCTACGCCCTTAACTCATGAGACATAAAGGCAAGCATGAACTTAGCATGCTTCCCTGTTGGGCGCTGTAAACGCTTCTGCGCTTCACCTTACACAAGGATGTAGGGGGTGCCCAATAAAAAAAAAAAAAAAAAAACAGTGAAGTCTTTCTTTTTTTATCTTATCAACATCAACCAGTACGACGAATATACACTTACGAATTATGAAATACTGTAACTGCCATACTAATGAACTGATATGATTAGATTATGAATGGAGATAAATTGATTATTAACCAACTGATAAGACAACAACCAGATCCCACCCTCCAACATTAAACACAGTCGAACCCTCACACGCACCTGCACCACATTCCAGACCACACATTACTGCTGCCTTCTGCATCCAAGAAAACATACCTTCCCATTTACTATCTTTTAATGTGAAGACGAGTAGTGTAAGGAGCTGGTGACAATGGCCTCAACTGCTGTGTTGATGTTGGTGGTAGTTCTTTCTCTCATCCCTGCCTCTACTGCCATCATGGTTGATGAAGGTAACTGTGTCACCCCCTACAGTGTTTCATCCCTATACTGTATCACTCTTACAGTGTGTTACCCCTATACTGTGTCACCCCTATTCTGTATGTCACCCCTATACTCTGTAACGCCTGTACTGGGTGTCACCCTTATATAGTGTGTAACCCCTATACTATGTGTCACCCCTATACTGTGTGTCACCCCTATACTGTGTCTCACTCCGTACTGTGTGTCACCCCTATATTATGTGTCGCTCCTATACTGCGTGTCGCCCCTAAACTGTGTCATTCCTAAACTGTGTCGCCCCTATACTGTGTCACCCCAATACTGTGTGTTACCCCTTTACTGTGTTACCCCTGACAGCATTGTTGGGGTTATACAGGGTGGTATGAGTGCATTTATCCCATTTTCTACCAAAACTTTTACTTTACAATCATGGTTTGATCGTTCCTGTTCTCTGGCATGTAGGGAGAGAGATAGGGCATATCAAGTTAAGAAACTATTACCCACTCTTCTTTCATTATTTCTAGGAATCTTTGCAAGGTTATTCTTCATAGGGTCAAGCAGAATTTTATAAATAAAGAAAGACCGCTGACCTGACTAATTCTTCTTCTGTAAATTCTTCTGGCCCTTAACCAAAAATATCTATAATAACTTCTGTACTCCTTCTTTCCCTCCTATTTTCCGACCTGATAACTCTATAGCCAACTCTGCCCTTGATAAAGCCAATATCTTTGGCACTTAATTCACTAACTCCACCTTCGATGATTCCAAATGTATCCCTCCTACTCCTGCTCCTCATACTGAAACTATACACTTTCTTATAGTCTCCACTCATAGGGTTGTTGGTGTGTTATCCAGGTTAGATGTAAGGCGCATGGACCGGACGGAATACCCCCTCGTGTTCTGATGGAGTGTGCTGAAATTCTAGCCCCTGTGTTTGCTCGCCTCTTTCGCTTTTAACTCAAAACCCATTTTTTTTCCTTCTTCTTGGAAGCATGCCTCGGTTCAGCCCATCCCGAAGAAGAGTGACCCTTCCAATCCCTCTAACTATTGCCCCATTGCCATAACTTAATCCCTCTCTAAGAATTTCAAAACTATCTTAAACTCTCATTTTCCCCATAACCTTGAACGCCTTTCTCTTTTGTGGGATAACTAGTATGGCTTTCGTCAGGCGAGATCTACTTGTGATCTGCCCTCCTACTACACCCATCCTCTCTTAGGGATTATGGGGAAACTTTCATTGTGGCCCTCGACATCTCCAAAGCATTTGACAGGGTATGGCACAAGCCTTTGATTTCCACACTTCCCTCTTATTTCTCTCCCCCACTTTGTTCTCTAAATTCTAGCTTCCTTGAGAACCGATCCAGGACAGTTGTTGTCGAGGGATCGATCTCTCGCTCTTTCTCTACCAATAGTGGTGTCCCACAGGATTCTGTTCTTTCACTTACTCTCTTCCTTCTTTTTATCAATGATTTTCTTGACACTACAGCTAATTCTATTCATTCTTACGCTGATGATTCTACTCTTTACTCTTCTTCACATTTTGCCCTTCCCCCTAATTCTCAAACTAGATATGTTTCTAGAGCTGATATCATTTCATCTATCAATGCGTATCTGTGCAGCATCTCCAAATGAGGAGGTAGAAACTTGTTTAAATTCAATAGTAATAAAACACAGTATTTACTAATTACACTTTACAAAACAGATGATCTCCCACCAATCACATTTCAGGACGCAATCATTCTGCCAAATTCTAAAATTGATATGCTAGGCCTCACTATTTCCTCTAATATGTCAAGGAATCCACACATTAACAACATTGCTAAAACTTCCTTCCGAAAGCTGCGAATGCTGTACAGAACCTTAGCTACTTCACTCCTGAGCAGTTGTTTCAAGTTTATAAGGGATTCATTCGTCCTAACTTGGAGTACTGCTCTTGTATCTGGGGTGGGTCTTCTTCTGTCCAACTGTTAGATAGGGTGGAATCAAATGCAATTCGTCTTATTTGTACATGTTCTGGGTACTACAGGAGCGAACACAAACACCTGTAGAGTTCTTTGTAGGATATATTTGCTGGATATGCAGAGGTACAAGCAAAGACAGCACTCCCTTACTCTCTCTCTCTATGGGTCAACTGACCTCTCAGGCGACATGTGGCAAGTGAAACATTAGCAGCTTCCAGATGTCGCCATGCACATTATCTAAGTGTGTGGTGACATGATAAAAGGCATTGCCACACGCTGCTGACAAATAAGTAATGTATATAAATGGAGTACATACATAATATACATACAACATACATAATATACATACATTATTAACTCTCTTCCTTTAGTTGATAATCTCTCTTCCCTTTCTCGTTGCCACAGTGTTGCTTCACTCTCTCTCTCTTTTACAGGTACTTTAACGGGCAATGTTCGGTGGATTTGACATCTTGTGTACCGCCGGTAAGGCTGTGGGCTCGTAACACTCGTCGGTCACACTAGAATATCCCATTATAGTACATCCTTCTTTCCTTACACAGTCAAACTGTGGAGTGCTCTGCCTTCTTCTGTGTTTCCATGCTCATACAATCTGTTTCACTTCATAAAGCTGGTTTTCCAGCATATTTTTGGTGTAGATTCATATTATCTTTTTCTTTTATATTTTTATTTCCTTTTACTCTTATTTTTTTGCCTCTTGAGCCCCGTTGTGGGTTGATGACCTGTGCCCGGATAGGCTACTCCCCGAAAAAAAAAATAATAATAATTTTCCCAGCTTTAGCCGAAGTATAATGAAACTTGACTACCCAATACAGTGAATGGTGTCACTGGCGACCCCTTTACATAAGAACATAAGAACAAAAGAAAATAAGGAGTCTGCAATAGGCCGGTTGGCCTGTGCATGGCAGCGCCTGTCGAGAGTTACTACCACTCTCTATCATCCATGAATCTTTCTAGCCTCCTTTTAAAACTCTCCACCGTTCCAGCACTTACTACAAAGTTGCTAAGCTTGTTCCACTCGTCCACCACCGTATTTGTGAACCAGTTCCTTCCTATCTCCCTTCTAAACCTAAACTTATCCAACTTAAATCCGTTGCTATGAGTCCTATCCTGCTCAGATATTATAAGAACTTTATCTATATCGCCTTTATTGATTCCTTTCACCCACTTAAATACTTCTATCATATCTCCCCGCACTCTTCGTCTTTCTAGGAAATGCAAGTTTAGTTTGTTTAACCTATCTTGATATGGAAGGTTTCTAAGTCCCTGAATCAGTTTCGTCATTCTTCGCTGCACCGACTCCAGTGAGTTGATATCCATTCTATGATAAGGGCACCAGAACTAAACTGCATAATCGAGGTGCGGCCTGTTTAACGCAAGATATAGTTGCAATAAGACCTCTGCACGCTTATTACTTAGATATAAAACCTAATACTCTGTTTGCCTTATTTCGAACATTAACACACTGTTTTCTAGGCCGTAGGTCCAGGCTTACAAGTACCCCTCAGTCTCTTTCACAAGTCGACCTTTCTTGGTCGATGTTGTTAAGGCTGTATACGTTGACAGTATTTGTTCTACCAATATTAAGTACGCTGCACTTACTGGTGTTGAATTTCATTTACCATTTCTCTGACCACTCCTGCAGTTTATTTAAATCTTTTTGTAATGCATTTGCATCCTGCCCTGAATTAATCTGCCGCCCTATTTTGGTGTCATCCGCAAACTTGCTTATGTCACTGCTGATCCCAATATCCACATCGTTTATATAGATTATGAACAAGAGTGGGCCCAGTACTGACCCCTGGGGAACCCCACTGGTTACACAGCCCCACTCAAATTTAACACCATCTACGCTGACCCTCTGTGTTCTATCGGTGAGCCACGATTTTACCCAATTTAAAACTTCCCCCTCGATACCATGAGCCTTAACTTTTCTCAGAATCCTCTGATGTGGTACTCTGTCAAACGCTTTGCTAAAGCCTAAGTAAATAACATCGTAATTATCGTCATTATGTTCTACCAAGATTCCACAGGCCTGTCAATTGCTTATGGGCTCCACCCATGCGTGTGTCGAATGGCTTAACCAATTTGCTGTATTTTTGTAAAAACACCGGGAAGATAATTAATTTTCCCACTGTACATATTTTCCCAGTAACCTTAAACATGTGTTTATATTATGTGTGTGTTTGCAGGCACCTACACTTCGCAATACAGCGTGCTGGTGGCGCCTGTGTTGTTGTTTATACTGGTGGTGTACCTAGAGAGTCAGAGGAGGCAAGCAGACTTCAGTGACCCCACCAAGATCACCGTATATGAAGTACAATAAGAGATTATGCAAAATAAAAAAATAAAAAAGTGGGAATATTTTGGACAGAGGTTAACAATGGAACCCACAAATTCATTCATTTCCTTGTCATTTAATACCGTGAAGTGTTCATCTCAACTACGCGTCCACTGAATTTTAACCTGAAAATGCTATAAAATATATTTGAAAGACATTTGTTTACTGACACCTCCATGGGCTACGTTAAACAGTTACCACATAGTCACCAGTGTGGGGGAGTAAAGTTCCCCAACGGACAGGATGAATCCCCTTTGACTATCAGATAAGGGGATGACGTCTGCATCCCGTCTGAGTATCGTAGCGGCAAACATGACCAGGAAGGCACGTTATGTATACAGTCCTCCCCTAACTCCACCCCTACCAGAGTTCAGCAGCAAATCTACAGCCAGAAAAAGAAGTGCACAGCGATATCTGTGATAAGACAGTGTAAACGCTTCATGCTTATGGCTTGAAATTAACATGAATTATT